CCCCCATAAATGACAGTGCAGTATTGGGGCTCAGATACTGACATACCCAATTGCACATTATAGAACAGGTCAGATGTGTATGGGTATAAAACATCTTACTTGACCTGGAAGCAAGAGAATACTCTTGCCTGTCGCACATGTTTCTGTGCAATACAAAGCATTCAATTCAAGTGTACTTGTTGAAAAACAGGACGTAATTAAGCAGTTGGTAAAATGCATTCTTGTTTCCCACTTGCAGATCTCCCAAGAGTCCCTTCGAATTTACCTATACGAGTTTCAGCTTCCCGCTTGCCACTTAGCTTGATAACGACTCAAAAATCATTCCCTTGTTTTCAAGGGCTCTTCTTTCTTGTCTGCTCTGTGTACTACAGGGCAGTATTGACACATGGAATTAATGACAGGGTCTGTAATGAAACAACAGTCATGCAAACACCAGTCTGCTCTTTTGATAAAACAGCATGTTAGAGACCTATTCACCTCCCTCTAATTGAGTACTGAATAATAGTTCCGATCCTTTTATGTAACATATTTTGTTCTATGATTAGAAAAGAGGAAAGGGGGGGGAACCTATGAGGCATCGCTTCCTTCAATCACCCCCTGATTAATTCTCTGTTTTTAATGAGGGTGGCTGCTATTTAGGCAGGTTCTGTTACATAGTTGTTTTGTTGACTTCCGTACAATGCATAACAAAACCCAAGACAGGATAATTGGGAACCATTTCTTTGGCACAGAGATTCCTTCTCTTAATGTAAGGTTGGCTTGGAAAAACGAACTCTGACATTTTAAATTAGTCATTTCATATTTAATTCCTTTTTATATTTGAAAGATGGGATGAGAAACTGGTATATAAATAAAGTACTTTAATTAACATAGAGCTTTTTTTTTCTAGAAATGCCGACTACAGGAAGCCTGTCATAGCCTCAAGAAAGAAGCTATCTTCGCTATAACTGAGTCTGAGTGCAACTTATTGAGGTGTCAGCATCTCTGAAATAGTTCATAATCCACAGAAGCACAATGGATTTTCCAATAACTTGTGCTATTCTCACAAATGTTTTTAACCCTTTTTTCTCAAAGAAATAGCATTCTAACCATAGGGGCTGGCTAATACATTCAGTTAGAAATTAAAAGTGTCCTTTGCGCTTGGACCCCTTTTCTTCATCTTTCCCTCCATCTTTCATATAATGCTTCCTAGTGCCGACTGCGTCTACTGTTCATCTGTTAGGCCACTAACCCAGCAGGCAAGAGGGTATGGTGCTTTTCCATAGCAAACGTGAGGCTGTTAGGTTACATCTTTAAAAAATGATAGAGATCCCTCAGTCCTCACTGTGCTTTGGGATTGAGTACAGTTGGGAAAATAAAATATACAGCATAAAAAATATCATTCCCAAGACAAATGGATATCATTTCCTTCCACTTCATAAAGGTAATTGGGAATTGTCTAAACAGCTCCACAGGAAGGCCTTTTGAAAGCTAGGTTTGTTAATGTGATCACATCTATTCATATCTGTTCTCTTTTTAAAAACAATTTAAAAACCTTGTATTAACATAGCATTATAAATATTTTATTGGTTCCTTCATAAGCTATTATTTTATTAAAAATATAAGCTATGTATTTAGCATGTGACCTCACATTTGAGAAGAGCTCAACTACAGAATGAAAGAGTAGGAATGCATGTTCTCCAGATCTTAAATCTCTTCTATGGTAAACATGCTTACCATCTGTTTTTTTTGTGGTTGCATTTACTTAGAATTTAGAATGTCTTATTTATAAATAATTAGACTGACAAACTTTTAATAGCTGTTGGTAATTTTTCAAAATAGCATGTTATTAACTATATGCCTGATCTTAGGTCAGTCACATAACTTTTGGTGCATTTATTCCCCAATACAATACTTCTTTTCCCGTCTAATTCACAGGGCTGGTTTAAGGATGGATGGATATAATGTACGGGGAAGCCACTTTTCAAAACCTTAAAGCACTATGTAAATATTAGTCTCTTATTATTGTTCTCATTCCTGTTAGAAGACTGCATGCAAAGCTTCTAAAAATTTGCCACCTGCTTCACATTAAACGGCATGGTTGAGAAAATATAGAGAAGGAGGTTAGCGGTAGTGCTGAAAGGACAAAATTTAGTCTTAGTCTTAAGTGACGGTATTCCTTATTGTTTTTTAGCAATTTACTTGTAGAACTCTTCTATCCTGTTGTCCCAATGAACAAAATACATGTTACTAAGAAATCAGCATGCTGACTGATATTATTTAAAAAGCAGTTTTTATGTGTTCTTCCAAATTAGGAAGACTTAAAGGATGAGGGTAGTAACTAAGACAGCAAACAGCTCGTGGATATTATGAAATGTTTCTCTCAGTCAACGGCCTGAATTCCAGCCAGTGCATTAACTAGGAACTCATAGTCATTTCTACTACAGATCTGAAGAGAAATGATAACCAACAGGCCATACTAGGGCTACATGACATCCTATACTTAGAGGTGTCTAGCAAGTGGCAGGATACTCTATAACCTGGAGATATCGAGCTTCTCATATTAATTCTCTGCAACTTAAAGGGAATATTAGTTCACAGAATCCAAGGGGCCCTTAATTTGAATTTCTGAGCAACTTTACAGTATTTTTAAATTTTGAGATGTTTTTGCTATAGGGCACGTGTGCTCACCAGAAAGACAGAGAGAGACAGAGAGACAGAAAGTGAGAAATCACCCCCCAGGGAAAACGGCCATGCCGCAATCCCTTCTCTTCTATTCTTCTCTCGGGATCTTGGGCACGCACGCACATGCGCCCGGTGTGAGTTTAAGCCACTGGGCCCAGGACTCGAACCATGGTCGACTACATGGGAGTCCAGCGACATAGCCATTACGCAAACTGCTGGTCCCAACAGTGTATTTTAATAATGTAGAACACGCTGTCTAACAGGACATAATGGAAGCCACAATGTAAGCTGTATATGTTCTAGTACCACACTGAAAAAGAGTAATTAAATAAAATTAATTTAAAAAATATAATTTATTTAACCCAATGTATAAAAACATTTCAATCTATAATTTGTACTAAACAATTAATGAGATATTTCACATTCCTTTTTTTTGATTGTTACTAAGTCTTTGAAATCTGTTGAGTATTTTACGCTTAAATTCCAATTTGGACTAACTACATTTCAAGTGCTTAATAGTATACAGCTAGTGGTGACCACACTGGACAATGCAGCTCTAAAGGATTTTCTGATGGAAATAATTAAGATCTTTATATTTTCCTTCCTCTTACAATGCTTTAAAAACTGTATCATGTTTTTGAAATGTTTCTGGAAAATATTTTCTTGACTAACTCATTACAAAAGTGGGTGTAATCAGTTGTGATTTATATGGAAACATTATGTATTTATGTTTTGGTCATAAATTACCTGTGGAAGCCTTGGTAAATTTCAAGAATAATTTTGGAATCAAGGAATGATTCCTATATTTGGTGCCTGCATTTATTAAAAAAACCATGTCCCAAATAGTACACAACAGCTGGCGATTAAAAAATTATTTTAAAAATCAGAATTATTAGCTAAGTAGTGGGTGAGAAAAAGAAATGGTAGAACGATTATTTATTTATATAAATGTGTATTTTTAAAACATAGTTTTTTTTTTATGGTAGACTATATATAAGCAAAAAGGCAATGTACCTTGTTAAACAGTAATAGGGCAAAGGTGGAATACAGGATTAATCAGTTCTGGTTTCAATTAAAGAACTAAAGGGGATTAGAGATAACAAAACTATAACCTGAAATATTATTTCCCTTGGTTAGTTTAAGCTTAACACAATCAATGCTCTCTCCCTTTTTCAGAAGGAGGCACTATCATACATGAGTTGTATGCTGTAGCTAAGGCAAATGCAATTGTATTAGCCACACTGGACTTGTGTAACCACACACAATCCCCATGCTAATCTTCTGAGTTGCAAGGGCTTCCCCCCAACCCCTCGCCCCCAAGTTAGAGAAGGAAAGAGAAGGTGGACAGGCAGGTAAATTCATACTCCTCTCCACTTCTGCTCTCACATTAAAAATATCAAATGACACTTTTTATGATCTCGTACCTCAGGCCTAATGCTTATGTTAGATAAATATTACAATTATCATTCTGTATTAAAGGAATTATGTGCCCCAACATTAGTCAATGACCCAAAGTACTTTATAGGAATTCCTTTTCAGCCTTGAATTATATAACATCTAGTCAAGAAACAGAATGGACAAAAGTACACTTTAAAGGCTTAAAGCACGGAGACTTTCTTATAGAGCAAACAACTGTCCTTCAGATTTGGAGATCAGCTGTTTTCATTATTTTATCATCACACACTGGGGAAACCACAGGGTACAAGGCACTGTACTAGCTAGACATGATGGGATTTATAGGGCTGAGATTATTCTCAAAATCTTAAGACCTCCAGGTGCACTCCCAATCCCCTTATCTCTTTATATACACCTGTCACAAATACAATCCTTATACCTAAAAAAACAAACAACAAAAAATTACTTGGAATACTGCTAAGTCAGCTGGTATTTAATGGGAATAAAGTATTTGAGCACTAATCTCTCCAGTGTCCTTGGAAATCTAGTTGAGATAAAGTTGCTAAGGCGGTAAGCCCCTTGAGGCAATGGCTATGACCATCACGGAGACAAAATGGAAATGTGATTTTAATTTTTATACTGGTGGTTTTAAAATTTTGGTAATGATTAACATCTATATCCTACACCAGGCTCAGTAACAGTATTTGGCATGACCAACCTTAGTCATCACTTTGGTAAGTGCTTTGGCACGGGCCACTGTTGCTAACCACCATCCTGGTGCAGGTCCTTCACATCTGCTCTCCTATGAATGGAAAAAAGGAAGTGTCTAGTGTCCATTCATTGGCCACATCACCTCCAACCCTATTCTTGACTCACATGCCTTTCAATTCAGGGAAAAAATGATTTAATCTTTAGAAGGAAAGTTAACCAGACAAAGCTACAGCACATTCTTAGCACAATAAAGACCCAGCTGAATGCAGAACATCCTAGAGTGACAGCTGAGGGAACTAACCACTAGTACAACGCTGAGAGGATGACTAGGGAGTGGTCTGATGACAAACACTGTAACAGATAAAACACGGCAGCACAGGAGACAGAGCAAAAGTCATGAGTTCTGGAAAATGAGCTCCTAAGTTACATTTTATTATGAAGCTAAAAAGAACGTATGTGAAAGGTTTTGTAAACTGTTAAAAGAAAATGTATTACCATGAATCATAAGCTTGGAAATGTTTTGAGCAATTTTTTGGTCTTTGCTTCTCCCAGTGATAAATCTGTTAACATAGGTTAATCAAGTAATGATAAGACAACCTAAGTTCTTTGGTAGAAAGATGCAGCATATGAATACCAAAGACTTATTAACAAGAATAAATTTTCCTCCACATTGAATAGTCATTTTTCTATTAAATACCTCTCAAATTTCAAAGATCAGTGTGAATGCCACCACTTTCCCTGTGAAATGCTCCCTGGACCATCCAGACAGAATGAACTGCTCCTTTTCCTGGGTGCTTACAGGTCAACACAGACCTCATTTTGTCACTGTTTCCTCCTCCTTTGTATTCTAGAATAGATTATAGTTTTCTTCACCACTAGAATGTGAGTTTTCAAGGGCAAAGACTGTCACATTCACACCTGAATACCTGAATCTCCTTTAGCTTCCTAGCACAGTGTACTGGCACAGAACAATTCTTTGCAAATGCCCCTTGAACTATACTGAATTTAACCTACTTGGTTTTATGGTATCCTTTATACCTCGGGGGGGAAAAAAAAAAAGAAAGGTGAAAAGTGAGAAGAAACTTAAGACTAAGGAGAAATATAGTACAACAAACATGTAAGATGCATAAAGAATGGCTTCATTCATTGCATTCC